ATAATTAGAAAGTTACAAAACATATGATATGACTTGAACTGTTTCAGGATTGTTTAATAGAAAAACCAGGTTAGAATGATGCTGAACAAGACATTTTACTTTTTCCAAACAACCAGCAGAGGGCACCAAATACCAATTACAGACTTTTTAGATCTGTCCACTTTCTTTAAACTTTAATGCTTTTCATGCTAACAAACTGTAAAATCTTCATCCATACTTTTCATTCTGTAAGGCTAAATAATCTGGGTCAAGGTCTAGCTGTTTTTAAGTCTGGTTCCAGTTTTAGTCCCTGTGGACATCTGTGCTGCAGCAGCAGAAAGTCTTTCTAGTTCACAGCCCTGCAGATGCTCTCTGTGGGACTCAAGATTTTTGCCCTCTTCCCCACCAAGGTCAAAATGCTTTGCTTAGCTCTATCAGCACCTCTGTCTACAACAACACAACTGTTAATCTAATGCTAGTCTCCATAGACCCTCTCTAGAAACTTAAAAAAGTTGACTGTTTATTTTCTGAAGAGCTATAAATAGAAAACATCTTAAAGTCCAAATTGTCATTTGTAAAAAGAGTAAACCAAGGTAATTGGAGGTATTTTATATAGAATGGATTTAACTACTTATGGGACCAACTAAACCTAACTGTTAAAGATGCTATGGCATTATGGAGTAATGGGGAGTGGCAGCCATTGGTTAGGCCTTAAAGCTTGGAATCAAGAGGTTCTGAGTTTGAGCCCCACTCCCACAGACTGGCACTCTGGCTCTCTGAGCAAGACCCTTAACCCCACACTGCTCCCCGGGCGCCCCAAGATGGCAGCCCACTGCTCCCCAAGGGGATGGGTTAAATGCAGAGGTACATTTCTCCAATTTGAGAAATTATTTATTATTTGTTCCATTATTGTTGCAAGCAAAGAACAAATTTTGTAAATTTGAAAAAAAGAAAAGATGCAATCCAGAAATTAAACTTTGAAAAACTCGATTAAAAAAACGTTTTTTTTTGTTTTGTTTTTTTTTGTTTTGTTTCAAAATTTTTAATTTTGTTTTTAAGGTTTTATGTTTTCAAATTAATTTTTTTTTTAATGGTTTTACAAACTGCATTTCAAAGAACACATCTGCTTCACTTCAAGCCCAATAAAATATGGCTGCTAATGTCCATCGTACCAATAGAATTACGTCTTCTCTCCTCACACCAATGGAAAGACTTGTCCTCAGAAGGGATTTGACCTGTAAATGCAATTTGAAAAGAATCCAAATTATAAAACTCAATCTGAAAGAAGTGAAAATATAAAATCGGTTAAAAAAAAAAAAAAAACTAAGAAAGACAATATTAAAGAAAAAATATTTTGGAAAAATAAAACCTGAAAAAACAGCAAAGTTAATCTCAAAACCTTTTTTGTTATTAATAAGTTTCAAAATTTCATTTCTGAATTGCATTTTTTTCTAATTTCTATTTACAAAACCTGTTCTTTACTTGCAAAATAATGGAACAAATTTCCCTCCATAATGCCATTAGTTAGTTTACAGACTTTGAGTCCAAAATCTATAAAGTTTTATTTTTCTGAGCCTGTTGGAGTTGTTGGTGAGCTTTGAGCTGTTCTCCTGCCAAATAACCCAAGTGTGCTTAAACCAAAGGTCAGTTCTGGATGGTTCCTTCAGAGTTAAGAAGCTAACTAATAACCTATCAAACCAGCTGGTTTAAAGGGCGGCTTGATCTTTGAATGAAATGTTTTAGCTTTCAATCAGATGTATCATGACACAAACCTTCAAGAAGGATCTGCTTTTATCTCTTCAATATAATCCAAAAAGTTTGAGGGATCATAAAATGATTTTGACTGTAGAACTCTCCTTTGGGTGCAGTTTTCATCACAGTTAGGATGAATCTTATTGAATTATCAGCTTTGTGGTGTCTTATGTGCTGTTGTCAGTGTTTTGAGGGACTCTTGGTCCTGGACAGATTACCAACTGGTCCACATTTTCTCCATTTATATTAGTTTCCAACTGATGTATGCTCATGCTTTCATTTCTCATCTGGACATCGTGCCTATGTTACAACATCTTTCAGCTTACTTTATTTTCTCAGTTTTAATTCAAAACGTTAGATCCATGTGATTCAATGTGTAAGACAATAAAAAAATAAACTAATCCTGTGTCCATGTAGTCTGGAGCAATGAAATAACATTATTTTATGAAGAAGTGTATGGACATGTATTGGAGAATATAGATGCAAAACATGTAAGAAAAAACTAAATTCTGAGCTCAGAAATGAAACTAGAGGCGATTCCAACAAAATTAAAAAAGTAAAAAAAACAAACCACTGAAGTTTGTTTTCCAGTTTTGAGGCGTTTTGGTTTCCCTTCCGGGAGGTTTTTTCACTTCAAATTTTTTGGGTTGGTTTTTGGTTTCCGGGTTTTTGGGTTGGCTTAACAAAAGCGTTTTTTTGTGTTTTAGAACAGGGGCATTTTGCTCTGAAAAACCGGTTCTTCGTCTTGGTGAGTGGTTGGGGTTGTTGTTGTTGTTGGTGTGCCTGCGCGGTCTTTTTGTTTTGTTGGTCTGCATGGCGATGATGTTTGAGATGAGGCATTCTATCTGACTTGAGCATCTCTTCCAAGAATCTTCATCTTAGACGCAAAATGTTTATATTTTTGCAAAATTATTGCTCAGACTGGGTTGTCCTTTCAGCAAATTGCATATTTAATAGTCTGTATCCTTCAGTTAATGATTATTCAATCACTAGAATAGTGCATTCACTAGGCAAGGGTTAGAGTTAGCTAGATTAGTTACAGTAAACAGGTATGTGTTTTAATTGTTTTAATAATCTATTAATCTTGATTAATCAAATTTTTTTTTCCAGCCCTGTTGTTATTATTGTTGTTGTTGTTCATTAATGCATCTGGTGCTCTGAAATGTCTAGAAACAGATTTTATAATGAAGCCGTTTTTGACATAGAATAATGGGATTTCAACTGATTTGTCTGTTAACTATTTAGTCGTTGTCAGGCTATTAATAACGGAGGAACTATTGCAGTGGAGTCCATGGTTTTTGATCTACCTCTAAAATAGAAATACTATAAGAACCGTTACATTAAGGGGCCACATTAACTATTATAGGGGCCTTTTAGCCAGAACTTGTTGTAGCGAAGTTTTTTTACCTTTCACATTTACAACAGATCATTTGCTAGCTACGCAGAAGCCTTATCCTCTTAAAGGTGTTTATTTTTGGAAAATTCAGTTTTCAGTGTCGGCTTTTGTCAAAACATACACTGCAACATGTAAATATAAATATGTTTATTCCCTCTTAATTTGAGTAGGTAGATAAGAATATATGCAGATTTAATAGGATGATTTAAGTTTAAAATAAGAAAAAACACAACTCCATTTATCTTCTTCCATTTATCTTCTTCCATTTATCTTATTTCAACAGCAGAATTACTCGTTCTTTTGGCAGCTCATCTCATTTAGCTGCTCAAATTTAGGGCAAATGTGCTTATTTTAATAAATTTTTTACTGATTTGGATCAGTTTTTGCAGTCTGATACTAAATATTCTTACGATGATGTGCACTGACTGGCATGCGTGACTAATTCATCTCTTGGACCAATTTTATATTTATCCTTTACGATTCTCTTTGACAATCAATTAGAAATTATATTCAGCTTTAAGCTTTGGTTGTATTAAAATAGGATCACAATGTTAATCTGTTAGATCAGGGGTCTGCAGCGCTGACTTTGGGGCTCCTTAAACATACTAAACGATGCATTCTTGCCCTGTTTTTGTCTGTGTGTGTTTATAATTACTCTGCTCTATGTGCCCATTGCAAATTTGATCTAGAACTGCCACTGATTATATATAAGCTAAAAGTTTAACACCTTCATCTAAGTTAAGGTAAAAATAAATAAATAAATAAATTGGAGCAGAGGGACCGTTTAGTTATTTTCTGTGCCAGCAAACGTCATCATAAGCAGAGGTGTCAAGAAACGAAGTACAAATACTTCATTACTGTAATTAAGTACACTTTTTAGGTATCTATACTTTACTCCATTACTTCTGATTTCTACTCATTACATTTTCACACAAGTATCTGTACTTTCTATTCCTTACATTTTTTAAAACAAACATTACTCGTTACTCTTGGCTTTGGTTTAATGTTTATAGATATTTATGTCACGTCATGTGCGCCATCCAATGCAGATCATTGGCTCCATCCACATCTAGTGAAAACTAGTGTGATTTGATGAGTCATATAACGCAAACACTCATTGGTTAGCTAAAGGAAATCATCAGAAGCAAGCAAATCTGAATTGTCTATGCCATGCTACAATGTGGGATTCAGAAAAAGATGTGGAAATGTCTGAAAGGTCGAACACAGGCGAGAGCGTATCGGGAGACGGAGACCAACAAGACCTCCCTCATCCTTGGCCCTATCTTGAAGAACTTTTCGAAATAGTCGACAAATTGAGCTTTCAATTCATTTAGTGGCATCTGGCTGTTTTTTTTAAAGGTTACTTTATACCTTAAGTAGTTTTTGGAGCACATACTTTTTCACTTTTACTTGAGTAAAGAGGTCAGGTTGATACTTCAACTTTTACAAGAGTGTTTTTAATCTGCAGTATCCATACTTCTATTTAAGTAACAAATGTGTGTACTTTTGACATCACTGAGCATAAGGAAGTGATTTATGTCTGTAGTACAGGAGCTGTATGTGGGGCACTGGCCCCATTGGCCCCTGTGTGGAACCGCCCATGTTGGTTAATCTTGGTATTATTGAGAGGAGTCATTGTAAAATAGTCTGAATAAAACAGCACTTCAAAAAAAAAAAAAAAAATGTAATATTATTTACCTCCCAATATTTTATTCAATTTTGAAATGATAAATAGTTGAAGGTATTTGAAAATATTAATGAAGATAATAAGATATTTATGAGGAATAAAAGCTGTCTGGTGTTACCCAGCTGTCAGTCGGGTCGGTACCGAACCACTGGCAGCCAGAACCGGGCGCGTGGCGCGCGCCTGTCGGTGACGCGCCGTCTGGTTCCCGGTCCTGTACCGGAGGAGGATCGGTGTCTCCTCACTGAAGGAAGCCGGAGAGGAAGGAGACAGACGCAGGATCGCTGTGCGGCTCCTCCAGCAGCGCTTTACGGACTAACCGCATCATCTGGAGCTCCTGTTTGGATCGGAGCCGGTAGGTAGACGGGTTTCTCCTCCATCTCTCCCTGATTTCACTGTTTTTATTCTCCTCCTGGTTGGAGACACGCTGCTGTCAGAGCGCCTTTACTGGAGAGTCATCAGCAGAGCCCAGTTATGCACCAGGAAAACCTGAAGTGAGGATGAAAAAGCTCGGAAATGGAAATTATCTTCTTCCGCTATTTAATTAAAGCAACATGTTTTTATTCAATTAAAGCAATGAGGTGTTGATATTTGATGCTGCAGCCGCTCGCTGTTGTCTTATATTTTGCACACAGAGCAGAGATGCCAAACAATAAAGCTCACAGTTCACCGATATTAAACTGATCCCTGCTCCAAAGTGCCACTTACCATTTTAAAGCACAAAACTATTAAAAACCCACAAATAAATTCAAATTTAAAGTGACCAACCAGTGGGGCATCTTTTCTATCACTTAGTGTCTCTCCTTTATAGAAAAAAAGGATAGTATCCTTGGATTTTGGATTATAGCTCTGGATGCACTTTGCACCTGCAGGGCTGCATGTCTCAAAGCGTCTTTTGTCAAATTCAGCTGCTGTGGGAAGCAGAAAAGCCAGCAGGGGTGGAGGCGTTGGTGTGTGGGAGATCAGCTGTGGTGGAGTGGAGGATGCCCTTGCTGTGGAGTCACCTTGACGACCCCTCAGCATCACAGGGCTGCATTTGTCATGCTTCTGCTGCTGTTATTCACCTGCCATCACATATGGTGCTTTAATGCCAGTATATATATATATGCTTTATATAAAAAACTAGGGGAAAGTTTGCTTAAAGTAGGATAAGAAACCCTCTTTTAGCCCTTTTATGAAAATAACAGAAAAACAAGCAAATAAACAGTGTAATAAGCGTGGAGGCAAAACATAAAGGCAGTCAAAGGCTTTTTAAATTTCAGTGCAGAAGGTTTCAGGCTCAGCAGCTCAGCTTCTTCGCTCATAAACATGAGGCTCCTGGAAACGCGTCACCAGGGCGACATCCTCAGTACCACTGAGAGGAGCAAAGTGTGGCAGCAGCTTCAGGGAATGTTAATAACAAAATCTTCCTTTGATCTGAGAGAAAGGGATCTAGGAAACTAACCAGGATGGACATCAGAGCTTATTTTATCAGCCAAATCTATTATGGTGATAAAAGAGGCTGAAGTTTGCTTTCTGTTTGGTAGATCTGATGTGGTTTGATTGTTTTGGAAATCTGAACAAATACGTTTTTCATTTGAGTCCATAAGTCCACGGACGTCTCTGAGGATCTCAGCGTTTTAAAATTCTGCAAAGGTTGAAAGAATACAGTTCAGACACCAGCAGAAGAGCTGCCTTTTAACACAGCGGGTACACAGAAAAGGGCTTTTGGTCTCAAGGTTTAGGTGATGGTCTGCAATGTGTGTAAGATCCAGGGCAATGAGTCAACTATAGGCACATTATGTTGTTTATTTTTTGGTCTCATTTGATAACATATCTCTGTTTTTCTGTTCTTCCATTTTGCATTTATTCTTAACATAGCCTTTAATTACAGATGTTCAAGGAGTCATAGAATACAAAACCGAGTTTCCATTGTCATAGATGAATGACGATAGTTCAGTGGGTGAAATGGACGTACAGAGAAGTTCAAACCCCATCGACACCTCCTTTCTCTGCAAATCTCACAATTCCAAACTTCCACCATAAAATGGGCAAATTCAGAAGAAGCCCTGAGTTTATGTCAATTCGGGGATGTTGCCTTATTTGGTTCTGGCCTCTACTTTTGTCACGCCCTGAAATTGACATACAGACCAGCCCACTGGTTCACTGGCCCAAGAACATGAATAGAGGAAGATGTAAGACACAAGTTTAGCTGTTTAGCCTACAGTTGGGTTTACTTCCACAAGAAGTACAAAGAAGACAGTATCTCTATTTAAATTGAGCCAGAACCAGAGGCGTAAATGCAGTGTTCCAGGCTGCACGGAGAAAGGGGAAAATTTTCACGGTCTTCCCAAGGATCCGACAGGCATGGATCATTGTTGTCTACCAGAAGATCGGTGCAAAGTTTGATGTTCAGCTGTTCATTTGCTCTCAGCATTTTACCGAAGACAGTTTACAAAATCTTGGACAGTTCAAAGCAGGATTTAATAAACTTTTTTCCTGAAACGAGGGGCTGTTCCAACCGTAAGGCCATCACAACCGCAAGCTGTAAGGAAGATTCTGACGCTAAGCTGTTGATAGCAATGCAAGCTTATCTATGGTGACCAGATTTGGGTTTCTGAAAAGGAGGACACATTTTTAGTTTTTGAAGGAGGGAAGCACGGGGCCGGGCTACCGTTGACGGGTCGGGGTCGGTCCCTCCTTCCCGAGCTGGCTCCCTGCCCCCGTCCGCCGGAGTCCCAGCCCTGGAGCTGATGTCTTGGTTCTGCTGCACTATAGTCGACCAAAATCCCAGACGATATTGAAACTCCCACCAGACATTTTTTTAGATGGAAAAAGAGGGCGTCTGGTCACCCAACAATCTCGATGTTTCAGTGGGGGAGTGCTTGTTGCTATGATGCGTCTTTTCTTATTTCTAGGGCTTTTAAGCAGGCTTGCATTAGGGCTCATAGAACAGCAAATATGTCATTTTCACTCCAAACAATGTTAGATACCCTATTCAGAGACCATAAGGACCAGCACCAAATACCTTATATAATCATTCTATGACTTATTGAAGCTATTAGTAGATGGGTACCTGGCGGTTCATTCAGAGCATAAAGGTTCTGAGCTCCGACCCTGATCACAACCTTTCTGTTTAGAGGTTGCATGTTCATCATCCACACATACGATGTTTGGTATCCAAACAAGATCCATTTCCCTGTCCTCTGAATTGACTTTATAATATTCTTGTTAACCAGTTAAGAAGAGAATAAGACCAAACCCACCCCCTTTGATCTATCTGAGCTGTGTGCAGCCGGATAAGGAATGTTTATCTACCAATATCCTGATGTAACGTTTCCTTTTCCAAAACTATACCAGCATTCCAGCTTTGGGTTTTGTCAAATGGGATATCAGCATTAATCAGATACGCTTTTATTACTTTGCAGTGTTGGGTTTTAGAAAAGGCTTCATCAAGTGAACGAAGAACAATCGGTTAAAAAATAAACAACTAACCCTTTTATTATTTGTTACATAAAGTGGAGTTTTTCTATCAGCTTGCTGATATCCCATATTTTAGATACATGCGGATAAATTCCGATTGTTATTTCTTTGGCTGATATAAGATAATTTTCCGATATCGATCAGCACATCCCTTCAGGCGTCTTTGTGTTTGTGGCAACCTGTCATTTTTTACTGTAATAAAAGCAGAATGATGACACACATCGACATCACAGTATACCATGTTTCTTAGAATTAATGGCTTAACATTTCTGTTCTAGCGTTTCAACAGTTTAGATGCAAGATAACGTTCTGCAGAAAGCAGAGTCTTCTTTGGTTGTATGATTCATTTTTAATTCTGAGCTCAGCCCACCTGTACCTGTTTAAATGTTTACAAGACAGACTCATTTGAAAGGAAGCATTTTGGAGAGTAATTTGATTAAAACTAATGTAAAGAAGTTCTTCCCTTTAATCACAAATAGGGATACAAGTTATTGATTGACAAATTTTTTTAAAGTTGTGTGATCTTATTGATTGACTAACGATTACAAATAATGAGGCCTTTTTTTTAATGAATAATAGCCTCATTAGTGAAGTTTTTTTCTTGTATAAGAGACTCTTTCCATCAGTATAAGGCAAGGCAAGACAAGGCAGGGCAAGTTCATGTGAATAGGACAAGTCAGTACATGGACAATTCAAAGTGCTTTACATGAATTAGATAATAAAATAAGCAAAAAATAAAAGCAGAATAGACGCAAATGAGTTAAATAAAAAAAACAGTTGGACCACGACTTTAAACTAATGTTACCTCAGTTAACAGTTTAACTTCAACAGTCAAAAGCAGCTCTAAACATACATATGTATATGTAAAAGTATATGTAGTATATCATTATTTTAAAAATATATATATTTTAAGAGCTAATATTTATATTACATCTATATATGATATATAGCTCTAATTAATTTATAGATATACAATAATATATTTCAAAATTTATTGTATATACCAGCGAAGCTCAGTTTCAAGATGAAACGCAGTGCCATCTAGTGGACAGTGGTAACATTACAACACTGAACAAATTTTTTTCTATGCGGACGTTATCAATTAATGGCATCAAAAAGGTTTTAGTCTAATAAACCAATATTAATATTTAATAGATTGTTTGTTTTCATCCCTAATCTTAATAAGTTTTTATTCAAATGGGTTGTTGGCTAGTGAAGTTGCTATAGTTGCATTAAGTAGCAGTGTGCCGGCTAGTGAACAGTCTGTAGCTGAGCTACATCAGCACCTAATTACTTTAGATTGGCAAGGTGTGGAAAATATTGGACTTAATAACCATTTTAACTCAAAAACATCCATTAAACATGGTAGCTGTAATTTTCCACAACTGAGTCCATCGTTTGAAATATTTACAGCCATTTTAGCTGAAAATGACATGAATTTAATTTACAACATGGTTTTTATTACCTAACAGGCATTGTTAGGCCTACATTAGTATATTCCAGCAGAGTAGCTGTGAAGCCTTTTATCTGTTTGTTGTTTGAAAAACCCCCAAATGTATTTGCAAACATTATTTAAGGTGAGATAAGATACCATTTTTTGACTCATCATTGTACTACTTTTTTCTTTCTGTGTTTTCAACACGAACAATTAGATATTACATTTTGTTCACAGTTTTTTTCTTATTATTGGGAAACAGTGATTATGTTTTGGTTATTTTCAGGTTACCAAACTATGACAATCTCTTATTCGCTGAAGCCTGAAAAGGATAATACTTAAATCATCTTGAGAAAGGTGAAGATAAAGAGTTTTTGGTCGTTACTAAAGAAGCCTGTTAAATGACCTGGAAATAAAGAGTTTGAACACAAAGGAAAAGTTGCAGAAACAAGCCTCAG